GTACTAGCCCGGACTAAAGCTGGTTTTATAGTGCTAGCCCACTGAGATACCATGCCGCAGTGGAGCATGAATACCCCACTCAGACACATTATACTGACTCCGAGCCGACCAGTCCTTGTTGTACCCATTAATGCCGAGCGCCAGGCAGGGACCAACAAGTGAGTGAGTGAGTGAGTTAGAATTTAACGTCACCTCGGCAATATTTCAGCCATATAGTGACGAGAAATGTTTTACATAAACAATTAATTAAAGTTGCTAAATAATCAGTCATCGAAGGACTGTAAAATAACTAGAGTATCACAGATGGAGTCTAAAACTAGCATGAACATGTAAAAGTATTTTATTTACGAAGACAACACAATATAAAAACGGGCTATAGATCGCCAACAACTGAAGGTAGATCACCGTACTAGGGTCCATGGGGACTTACAGTACTTCTGCTACCTGCATGGGCCCTAGCTGGATTTATATCATCCCTTCAGCCGCTGGCGATTGAAGTCAAATTTAGCCAAAATTAAAATGACAGAAATGCTACATTTAAAACAGCTGGTGAATTTAAGTTTCCTTTGAAAGTTTTGGTACTTACGTACCCTCTCAGGAGGACAATTATTTTACGCTACTTCAACCCCCTTTCGAAGTTACTAATCTAAACTACCAATAATAAAATATGTATCTATTTACAAAGCAGTTAACAAGTCTAATTTTTTTAAAAAGGCAATAATTAAATGAGAACTTATATTACTAAAAAGATCCTTCATAGTTTTTACTTTGAAATTAGATATCCCTTGTGATGGAATATTCAACACAGTCAAGCAGCACATGCTTGGCCGTGATTCTTTCATCACAAGGGATACAAAACGGAGGATCCTCGCCTTTTAACAGGTACTCATGAGTATATCTTGTGTTGCCAATACGACATCGTCGTATGATGACCTCCTCAAATCTGGACTGACAACCCAAGTGAGTGTAACCAATATAAGGTTTATTTCATGTAGTTTATTAATACCTACTTGGGTGTCCCACTTCTTCTGCATCAGATCACGGATGCAAGTTCCAATGCTAGCTTTGTAATCAGAATATGGAATAAGAAGTGGTGTCACAGATTTGTTGAGGGCTGCCTTGGCAGCAATATCAGCCATTGTGTTCCCAGAAATGCCAACGTGACTGGGTAACCAACAAAAGACGATGTCGCATTGGCCAGTAGCAGGCTCATTATACAATTCAATAATTTCTATTAAAAGTGGATGTTTACAAGAAAGATTTTTAATAGCCTGAAGACACGAAAGAGAATCAGAAAAGATGATGTATTGTTTATATTTACTATGTTTATTTATATATTTAAGAGCTGTTAATATGGCGTTAGCTTCTGCTGTGAAAATAGAGCTGTGATTTGGTAGTCGAGAAGATATTGTTCGGGATCCAATGACGGTGGCAAAGAGAATCAGAAAAGATGATGTATTGTTTATATTTACTATGTTTATTTATATATTTAAGAGCTGTTAATATGGCGTTAGCTTCTGCTGTGAAAATAGAGCTGTGATTTGGTAGTCGAGAAGATATTGTTCGGGATCCAATGACAGTGGCACATGCCACCGCGCCACTATCCTTGGATCCATTTGTAAATAAGGATTTATATGTATTATATTTATTTCTTAATTGACTAAATTCTTGTTTATACTGTAAATCATTAGTTTCGGATTTTTTAAATTTGGTTAATGTTAAGTCAACGTCTGGCCTCACCAATTGCCAAGGAGGAGAAGAAAGAAGACGAGAAGGAGATATATTCTCCAGCTCAATTCCGGCAGCAGAAAGGAATGGTTTAATTCTGTGCCCAAGAGGCGGAACAAGAGAAGGCTTTTTGTTATACAAATCCTTATAAAGAGGATTGAAGACACAGTTAAATGCAGGGTTAGACTCGTTAGAATATAGTTTGGTAATATATTGTAAAGATAATTTAATACGGCGTTGGGAAAGAGAAGGCTCATCTGCCTCGACATAGAGACTATCAACTGGAGAAGTTCTAAATGATCCAAGACAAAGTCTTAGACCTTGGTGGTGAACAGAATCAAGTAGTTTAAGGTTTCTTTTGCAGGCTCCGCCATATACGATCGAGCCATAATCAAGTTTAGATCGTACCAATGATCGGTATAAGTGAAGGAGGGTAGTTTGATCCCCTCCCCACTTTGAATTGGAGACAACCTTTAACAAATCGAGTGCCTTCAGGCATTTAGCTTTAAGGGATTTAATATGTGGCAGAAATGTTAAATGTGAATCGAAAATTAGGCCCAAGAATTTGGCCTCCTTTACAACTTTGATGGGAGTGCCATTTAAAGATAGTTCTGGGTCCTTATGAGGCTTATATTTTCTACAAAAATGTATACAATTAGTTTTTGATTTAGAAAATTTAAAGCCGTTTTCAAGACACCATTATTTATTTTGTTTAAACATAACTGCAGTTGCCGTTCAATAGTATGCATATTTTTACCACGACAAGAAATATTGAAATCATCCACAAATAATGATCCATCAATTGAATCATTTAAAACCGTTGATAAACTATTGAACTTGATGCTAAACAGTGTGACAGACAACATACTGCCTTGTGGGACACCCTGATCCTGATTATAATGATCAGACAAGGTTGAACCCACTCGGACTTGAAATTGCCTGTTTCTTAAAAACTGTGATATAAAAAAAGGTAAACGACCCCTCAAACCAAAATCATGTAAATCCTTTAAAATGCCATGCTTCCAGGTCGTATCATAAGCTTTCTCAAGATCAAAGAAAATCGATACAGCATGTTGTTTATTTACTATAGCATTTTTAACAAAGGACTCTAAGCGTACCAAATGATCAATGGTACTACGATTTTTCCTGAAGCCACATTGAATATTTGTTATAAGGTTATTGGTTTCAAGATACCAAGTTAATCTATTATTCACTATACGTTCCATGGTTTTACAGACACAGCTAGTTAGAGATATCGGTCTGTAATTCGACGGATCTGTATGATCCCTGCCAGGTTTAGGTATTGGGACTACAATGGCATTACGCCAGGAAGGAGGAGGACCAACAAGTACCATATTTGAACGTAGCTGGTAGGAGGATCAACAGGAAGACCCTTCACGTGTATATGACAACATCCCCTTATTGCCTTGCTCTATATCGTTCATAACCATACCAACATACTTTATGTCATGTAGGGACCAACAAGTACCATATTTGAACGTAGCTGGTAGGAGGATCAACAGGAAGACCCTTCACGTGTATATGACAACATCCCCTTATTGCCTTGCTCTATATCGTTCATAACCATACCAACATACGTTATGACATGTGTGTGTTATGTTGTAGTATGAATGGTTTTGATATTTTCATATCAACAGGATTAACGTGTTTAAATGCTCGAGAACAAATGTGTTATTCATTGGGTAAACGTGTATATGTTCATAAATTATATCATATTTTAATACGGCCTAATGTGTTTTAAAATTCTCTCATAACCTTTTATCGTGACCTATGCATTTTACCAAGGCAAACTTGTAAGTCTAACATCACTATCAAACCAGGCATTGTACCATTCCTTTTATCTACAAATGATGTCACATAACTTAGTTCTGTCAAGACCCAATCTCAATCGCATCAAATTCAGCCATGCTCGTCTTGAAAGCAAATAAAATATAATACGTGTTCATCAATATTTAGATGTTAGCGATATTACGTCCAAAAAAGAACTGCATGGTCGACATTTTAATGATAAACTGACGGGCTAAAGAAACGTTACCACTTTGAAATTGAAATTACTAAAAATTCCAAATACAGATGCACAGAATTCAGCATCACATGAAAACACATCGCCCTAACGCAACAATGAGTTTTCCACTTAATGAGTGAGTGAGTGAGTTTAGTTTTACGCCGCTTTTAGCAATATTCAAGCAATATCACGGCGGAGGACAACAGAAATGGACTTCACACATATGGCCATGTGGTTTTCGACTTAGAAATAAGGCACGCAATGCATGCTTTTTCACCATTTTGTCCAAATATAGTTTGCATGTTTTTCACGCAAAGCGAATAAATATATGCCAAACACCAAAAAAAATGGCTCGATTAACTTTGCGACAACGAGAACGGGCGATCGGAATGGGAACCTCAGAGACCCACGTTGCAAGAACTCTTGGCTGTCATCAAGTCACCGTCACCAGACTCGCGCAGCGATACCGTCAGACAGGACTGAGCTCAGACAGGCCACGGTCAGGCAGACCTCGAGTCACAACGCCCCTGGAGGACCAGTACCTGCACACACTGTTTCTCAGAAACCACTTCCCGATGGAGACGTCATCGGCGGCGCATTGCTTGGGTCACCGTCTATGCCGATACGCAGTAGCCGGACGACTGAGATCTTATGGATTGCGGGCTTACAGACCTTTCCGGGGACAGCAGTCGACAGAGACTTAGGTGGGCTCCGATGGTTCGACCTTGGCAGCGACGTGAGTGACAGAGGGTGCTATTCTTGGATGAAAGCCGCTCCTCCCTGTTCAGAGCTGACGGAAGAGTGTGTGTTTACCGCATACGTAGAAATCTATCTGTTGTGGTTATTTCACAATAGGGTTTTTAATCTATGGTAGCGTTTCTTTAGAACGTCAGTTTAGTTTACGTGGTTATATTTAGTAGAACATAATTTGATTTAAAACTTTTTAAAATAGCAAAACACACAGTACACACACACACACAAACTGTACGTTTCAAACGGTTTTGAATGGTTGCACATTTATTTCTTACCCCAATATTTAGTCGGCCAAATAGAAATCGCATTTCAATCATTATAACGCTATCTTTTGAAACGCATGTGTTCCGATTTATTAGTGTTCACATTCTGTCAACACATCTACAGAAGCACCAGTATGTTGATAAGCAGTAGTATGATGATATGAACAGTGCATGGTAGTATTTATTACATAAGCAGTGTCAACGTATTACAGTACATTATATCGTTGCAGACGTCCACGTTGAACCAGATTCTGTACCCTTGGAAGATCATGGGTCTTTTCCAAATGGCAGTTGCTTCAAACAAAGGTATGTAGATGGCTACCCTCATTGTATCTTTCATGTAATGCTGGAATATTAGTAAAACTTAGAACCCAACGTTGCTGGCATAAAACCAAACTCCCTCCTCCTACAGTTCTGTGTTTTCCAGATATCTTCTTTTACAGTGATAGTCTAAAACTGTTAATCCTGCTAATCTGTGCTATTACGTTTACAGGTATGAAGTTTTTCCTGGCGATATGCCTGGTCATGGTATGCATGTTCTTGTGGCAGTACGCGTTGGTAGACAAGTCTGTTTTTATCAGAGGGGGACATTTCACCGAGCACCGTGACGTCTTCAGAGAACACATAGTTCAAGACGTTGAAATTGACAGGCGGAGTATTGTCCTTGCGGCCAGAGAGCTACTCAAGGGAAGGGAAACAGAAGAGCAGCCACAACGCCACGTGATCTGCCCCAGCTTCAGTGGCGGGCTGGGTAATATGCTCTTCCAGTACGCCTCGGCGTACGGGATATCAAGGAGGGTTGGGCTGGACATTCTTGTCAAAGCGGACGTTGAAGTATTTCAGGTATTTGACATCTGGGCCAAGGTTTCCAGCGAGAAGAGCGTTTGCCCAAAAGCCAAGATAATCAAAGAGAGGCACAGTGGTGTCTACGAACACAGCCTCATGTCCATTCGAAACAACGCCGACTATGTTGCCAAAGGCTACCTTCAGTCCTGGAAGTATTTTGACCCTTTCAGGGATGAAATACGGAAACAGTTACGTTTCAGAGGCGACATTGAAAGAAAGGCCTTTGACATTCTTGAATCAGCACTAAGTGAAAAATATGGCAGGGGGAACTACTCCTCCCGAACTCTGGTGGGCGTCCACGTTCGTCGGGGCAATTTAATGAACAAGCATGAGCGAGAATATGGTTATAAAGTTGCTACTCCGGGATATATAAAGAAAGCATTAGCATTTTTCACTCATAAATATAGACACGTTACGTTTATTGTTTGCTCCAATGATATGAAATGGAGTCGCCACTACGTTAACGATACTGACGTAATATATGTCGACGGTAACCCTAGAGAGGTGGATCTGGCGTTACTGTCGTCTTTGAATCATACCATTCTCACAGTCGGGACATTCGGCTGGTGGAGCGCCTGGATGGCAAATGGCACAACGTTATTTTTTAAAGATTTCGTTAAAATTGGGACTAAATTTGCACACGAATTTTCACCGGATCACAGTGATTACCTATACCCAGGTTGGATAGGAATGTGACTGCTTACGTCATTTCAATTTTTAAACATACATTTTAAGTTTTTGTCCTCATTCTCAATACAATGATAAGGATACAGTTATCTGTGGTTGTTGTTTTTTGTGTTTGTGAATGGTGTATATTAGTGGACCGTTCTATCGACTGGATCGGCAAATAAGTACCGTTTCCTACTTTATAAAGCGATTTCCACCCACGTTAACCCAGAACTATGAAATTAGTGAATCCATGACAGCACAAGATTGTAAATATTTAACAAAAAGATACCGGTACACGGGGTTTACATTTATATTCACAGCGAGCAATGCAATGGCTCCAATATATGGTACCAGCACTAAGTATCTGCTACAATACCTGTCAGTGCTCTCAGAAACATTCGTGACGGTGAGGTAGACAAGTACCTCAAGCGTTCGCTCGTCACGCTGAAGACTGGTGTCCCCCGCTGTGATGTTGCTGGAATATTGCTTAAAGCGGCGTAAACCTACACTCACTCACCCAGGAATATTCAGAATTTTCACTTTTGGATGTCTTGAAATATGATTAATCAAAATCCAATTTGGCATCAATTTTTGGGTGCTGTAAATTCTTGTCGACAAACATGTCGACGTTACATTGAAAAAGGGTGATGAAGTTATTCTTCTAATGATATGGCAAATAAAAACTCATCGATGGAAACCATATTGCTATTTGGTTTTGTTTATAAACAATTATCTTTCTAAACCTGACCCAGATTCAACAATCACAGAAGACAGTCTCTGTCTGGAGCCAACAATCAGAGAGACAATTTATTTCACTAACAGCTTGATGAATCAGGCAAGCTGGCGTAGTGTAGGTAACATTAATGAATAGCGGGTATTTGGTGTTTCTAAATTCATAAGCGTTTGCTGACAACACACACCTGTTATGAAACAGTATTATTACTTGTGTGCCGCTGTACAATGCAACCTTAGCGTTAAGATTAATTCTGTGCTATGGTATCGGAGTTAGGGTCACCTTAACGCTAAGACTAATGTACGTCTTTGTTACGGTATGAGAGTTAGGGTCACCTTAGCTCTAAGACTAATGTACGTCTGTGTTAAGGTATGGGAATTATGGTCACCTTAGCGCTAAGACTAATGTAAATCTGTGTATTAAGGTATGGGAGTTACGGTCACCTTAGCGCTAACACTTATTCTGTGCTAAGGTATGGGGGTTGCGGTCACCTTAGCTCTAAGACTAATGTACGTCTGTGTTAAGGTATGGGAATTATGGTCACCTTCGCGCTAAGACTAATGTAAATCTGTGTATTAAGGTATGGGAGTTACGGTCACCTTAGCGCTAACACTTATTCTGTGCTAAGGTATGGGAGTTACGGTCACCTTAGCGCTAACACCTATTCTGTGTTAAGGTATGGGAGTTGCGGTCACCTTAGCGCTAACACCTATTCTGTGTTAAGGTATGGGAGTTGCGGTCACCTTAGCGCTAAGACTTATGTAAGTCTTTGTTAAGGAATGGGAGTTACGGTCACCTTAGCGCTAAAATTAATGTAAGTCTTTGTTAAGGTATGGGAGTTACGGTCACCTTAGCTCTAAGACTACTTGTAATGTAAGTCTGTGTTAAGGTATGGGGGTTACCGTCAGCTTAGCGCTAAGACTAATGTAAGTCTGTGTTAAGGTATGGGAGTTACGGCCACCTTAGCGCTAAGCCTAATGTAAGTCTGTGTTAAGGTATGGAGGTTACGGTCATCTTAGCGCTAAGCCTAATGTAAGTCTGTGTTAAGGTATGGGAGTTACGGTCATCTTAGCGCTAAGACTACTTGTAATGTAAGTCTGTGTTAAGGTATGGGAGTTACGGTCATCTTAGCGCTAAGACTAATGTAAGTCTGTGTTAAGGTATGGGAGTTACGGTCACCTTAGCGCTAAGACTAATGTAAGTCTGTGTTAAGGTATAGGAGTTACGGTCACCTTAGCGCTAAAACTACTTGTAATGTAAGTCTGTGTTAAGGTATGGGAGTTACGGTCATCTTAGCGCTAAGACTACTTGTAATGTAAGTCTGTGTTAAGGTATGGGAGTTACGGTCATCTTAGCGCTAAGACTAATGTAAGTCTGTGTTAAGGTATTGGAGTTACGGTCACCTTAGCGCTAAGACTAATGTAAGTCTGTGTTAAGGTATGGGAGTTACGGTCACCTTAGCGCTAAAACTACTTGTAATGTAAGTCTATGTTAAGGTATGGGAGTTACGGTCATCTTAGCGCTAAGACTAATGTAAGTCTGTGTTAAGGTATGGGAGTTACGGTCACCTTAGCGCTAAGACTAATGTAAGTCTGTGTTAAGGTATAGGAGTTACGGTCACCTTAGCGCTAAAACTACTTGTAATGTAAGTCTGTGTTAAGGTATGGGAGTTACGGTCATCTTAGCGCTAAGACTACTTGTAATGTAAGTCTGTGTTAAGGTATGGGAGTTACGGTCATCTTAGCGCTAAGACTAATGTAAGTCTGTGTTAAGGTATAGGAGTTACGGTCACCTTAGCGCTAAGACTAATGTAAGTCTGTGTTAAGGTATGGGAGTTACGGTCATCTTAGCGCTAAGACTAATGTAAGTCTGTGTTAAGGTATAGGAGTTACGGTCATCTTAGCGCTAAGACTAATGTAAGTCTGTGTTAAGGTATGGGAGTTACGGTCATCTTAGCGCTAAGATCGCTTTGTACAACGGCACCCAGGACCCTACACATAAGCAATATGGGACTGGATCGGTCGACTATTGCGTGAGATATTTGTACGTATTGGAAATTCGCAGCGAATAGTCTTGCAATTTCAGGGAATCGAATACCATTCAGTCATGTTTTTCAACCAATCACATAGAACACTGTGATCTTTTGTTTACAATACACTTTCTAAAATGCTTCGCCAATAGATCAAAGGCGCCGACAGTACTCTATCAGGCGATAAAGTACACTTTTTTGCATCACGTCACACTGTATTGACGTCACTACGCCATTTTCGTCTGCCCCTCGAAATACCCTTGTATTGGTCGCTGACGTCACGATGCATGTCAGTTGTTATCGCCTCGTACAGTCTCCCACGGCAAACTACTTAGTAGCACCCGGTTTCTTTGTTGCAGTTGCTTCACTCGGCTAGCATCTCTGGTGGATACATTACTTTTAACGTTTTCGACGGATAAATGTATCAGTTCGAATCACAAGTAAACAGCGACACGGAAATGTTCGCTGACTAAGTATATGTCCTAAGTCACACAATGCATCCGTGGAATGTCGCGTGACTAGTCAACATTATCTGGTGTTTCATACACCAATATCCTGTTAAGTTACCCAAACCTTAAATGATAACACAACAAAGCGATCGACGCTTGCACTTTAGTCAGCCATGATGGTACAACTACCCGGATGCCGGGAGCAGTCCTTGCATTCACAAATTACTCATAAGGGAGTAATTATTATATTACAACATCTGGATGTACTGATCTAAACTTACGTTGGTAGTTTAAGTACAACTTTCATATTGCACCATATGGTTTACGATAATCACAGACGTAACTAAAATAATACTGAGAAGATATTAAAACCGAACGTAAACCTTCTTCAAACTGTTTATCACAATTTTGTTTTCACGGCAAGGTGCGTCTTAACGTAGGGGTTAGACACGTCACTGGAAGAGCCCGTCAGTTTGGCCCTGAACGAGGATTCTTAATCTAGGTCAACGACAACGTCGCTTTTCTGTTTGTTTTCTGCCTATATTATTAATTCCCGTGTGTATGAAATTTGGCATCTTAAAATAGAAATATGCCTGTAGTTCGCTCTACCCTCATGTATAGTATAATCGTACTTTAACTATAATACTTCAGGGCAAAACAGTACTTTATTACACTATACATGGGGGTAGAGCGAACTGTATTTCTTAACTTGCTTTTTAATATCAAGGAGTACATGAAAGTTAGCCCACTGGTTCACATGGAAATCTACTTGTGTTATTAAAACATTGATAAATACGAAAATGGGGTATATTCCAATTTACTCGCCTACTCTAATCTACCTCTCATCTGGAGATATAAATATCTGTGAAAATATCACATACTTTATAGTTTTTAGAACATTACTCAATGTCACTGAATGTCAAACTGACATCTGTATTTAGGATGCATGACCCTGTGCTGTCATGTTGATGTGCTGTACGAGAGAAGACAGACAGGAAAAATCAACACTCCATGACCATATCAAGTGATGAATGCTTTGGTAAAATATGATTGAAATACAGTTGAAAACAGATTAAATAGACCAGATTGATATTAGAACCCAATAGCTGTGTTCAAGTTTGGTGGCAAATTAGGAGTCAATTTTACCAATGAATAAAGCCTAACTGCTACAAACTGTACAAACATTGTTTTAATCTTTATTTGGGTGTCGTTTTCGCCAGATGAAATCACTGTCATTCTGCTGAGGTAACGCCTTAGGCTACACCCTTGGTAAAGCGAAAAGATTATGTACTGTAAGGTCTGATAATTACTGACTGACTGACTGAGTGTGGTTTTACGCCGCTTTTAGCAATATTCCAGCAACATCACGGCGGGGAACACCAGAAATGGGCTTCACACATTGTACCCATGTGGGGATTCGAACCCGGATCTTCGGCGTGACGAGTCAACGCTTTAACCACTAGGCTACCCCACCGCCCTCTGATGATTACCAGAAGAGGATGTAGAGCTGGCAGAAAGATACCAAAACGGATTAAAGTGATTCAAGGAGTATTTGAGAGTGAGGATGGAACAAGGAGGTCAGGTGTTAACTTTAACAACTTGGTTCAAGTTTATCCTAGAAGATTTCCAAATACACTCGATGTCTCCTTGATAAACGTTCAATCATGCAAAAACAAGACTTTGGAACTATTTGATTTGATTCAGGAAAATGATATTGACATTCCTTTTCTCACTGAGACATGGTTACGAGAAAAGGGGGATGAGGTGAAAATCGCTGAGCTGACACCCCCTGGATACAGCTGTATACATGCTCCAAGATCCCAGCGCGCTGGTGGGGGTGTAGCAGTGGTACATTGGTCTAACATTCAGATAGAATGTTTAGACAATTTGGAAGAATTCAAAAGCTTTGAGTCAATCAACACTAAAATTAGTTCTCGAAATACTTGTGCTCATGTTGTGTGTTTGTATCGTCCACCGTCGTCAAAGAAAAAACAAACTTTCAACCTCTGTATTCCATGATGAGTTGTCTGTACTCGTTGAGAGGTGCAATCAGTTGAACACTATTTTGCTAGGTGATTTTAATATTCACTACGATAACAGTCAGTGCTCAGATACAAAGAAGACGAAAAATCTTCTCAAACAACATAGTTTGTGTCAGTATGTTGACGCTCCAACACATAAAGGAGGCCATATCCTTGACTGGGTGATATCCTCTGAAAGTAGTTCCTTGGTGTTTTCAGTCAATGTGCAGGATATACAACTGTCCGATCACTTTCTGGTTTCTATGACCTGGAGTATGGACAGACCTCAGCGTCAGACTATCAAACAATCCTGTCGTAATCTCAAGTCTATTGATAATGACGAGTTTCGAAGAGATCTTGTGAACTCTGACTTACTCCAAGACCCCCCGAATGATGTAAACCAACTTGCTGAGTTGTATTCATCCACATTGTCATCTCTCTTAGATAAACATGCTCCATCAGCTCTGAAGGAAATCATTGTCAGATCAGGGACTCCTTGGTACAATGAGCAGGTTCTCTTAGCCAAGCGGAAACGCAGAGCTGCAGAGAGAAAATGGCGGAAGAGTCGCCTTGAAATTCACCGTCAGTTGTATAAGTCTGAGCGGAACTCTTGTGCTAGGGCTCTTAGAGGAGCCAAATCCAGTTACTGTACTAAGAAACTCTCTGACAATGTGAAAAATCCTTCCTTCTATCACAAATTCATGGGATCTCTACTTGGCAAGAAGAATGATACCCCATTACCATCGTCCACTAATGACAAGGATCTTGCAGACAATTTTTCAGCCAACTTCTCAAGTACAATTGAAAATATCAGGAAAAGCTTTGACCAAACCTTTCTTGACACACAAAAAGACATTGTGTCGTCTCGATCCAATGCCAACTCGTCTCCTTGATGACTTTTTGGAGACTCTTTTGCCAGTTATCACGATCAACTTGAGCTTAGTTAATGGTGTCTTTCCAGAGGTGTTCAAGCAAGCTGTGGTAAAGCCATTACTTAAGAAGACAATTTGGATATCAATACTCTCAAGAATTATAGACCTGTCTCCAACCTCTCTTTGCTTTCCAAGATCCTTGAACGTGCAGTTGATGTCAGACTCAGATCCTACCTCTCTTCAAATGATTTTCTTAATAGTTTCCAATCAGCCTATCGTCCTAGGCACAGTACTGAGACCGCCTTACTTCAAATTATCAATGACCTGAGATGCCATGCGGACTGGGGTAATGTGTCACTTCTCCTCTTGCTTGATCTCTCAGCGGCTTTCGACACAGTCAACCATCAGAAGCTCCTCAGCCGTCTTCAGGATGACTATAACATACAAGGGGATGCATTGGCCTGGTTCCATTCCTATCTGAGCACGAGGAGTCAGTCAGTTCTTGTCTCTGAAAGCATGTCTGAGTCAACGATCCTAGAGTGTGGTGTACCCCAGGGCTCAGTCCTTGGGTCGCTTCTCTTTGTGTTATACACAAACCCTTTGGAGAAGGTCATTGATAACTTTGATGTGAATCACCACGCATTTGCAGACGACCTCCAATTTGATGGATTCCTTCAAACCAGAGGATGTACAAATAGCCAGATCAAGGGTGAGGCAGTGCACGAAGGCAATTAGTTCATGGATGATGAGAAATGAGCTGAAGCTCAATTGTGATAAGACTGAAGCTATGTTGATTGGCACATCGCAACGTCTGAAAAGGATAAACTCTACGGACATCACAGTAGCCAACTCAGATATCCCACTTTCATCCAGTGTAAAAACCTAGGTGTTTATCTTGATCCTTGTCTCACCATGGAGCAACATGTGAACCAACTCTGTAGAGTAGGCTACTTCCATCTCCACTCTATTGGGAACATCCGCCATCTTGTAACCACAGATGTTGCTAAAGTTCTCACTCAGTCACTTGTTCTCTCCAGGATTGACTATTGCAATAGCCTACTGTTTGGAATCTCCAATGATCTTCTCTTCAGACTTCAAAAACTTCAAAATGCTGCCACCAGAGTTGTCACTAAAACATCCAAATGGACTCACATAACCCCAATCCTCCAGAGTCTGCATTGGCTGCCGGTTGAAGCTAGAATTCATTTCAAGATCTGCAAACACGGCCTAGCTCTCTGAGATGTTGTCAACATATATGCCTGCCCGTTCTCTCCGCTCCCAGAATCAACATCTTCTCTCAGTTCCCCAAGTTCGTCTCAAACACTTTGGCCATAGGTCATTCAAATTTGCAGCACCAACCCTATGGAACAGTCTTCCTACTCCCATAAAAAATGTTTCATCCTTAGAAGCATTCAAATCGGGACTCAAAATCTTCCTCTTCAAAAAAGTCTACAACCTATAACTGCGAAATATTCTCATGGTCATTTTGACGAATTGTACATATCTTCCTCTTGAACTCTAGTGACTCTTTTTATATGTAGTGCTTTGAGCATGCTCTGGATGGACTATGGCGCATAAGAAATATCCATTTATTATTATTATTATTACTACAGTGAGAGGCCCCTAATGTTTTGCGTGAAGAGTTTGTTACAGTGAGTATTATTGTGTGTCCCTCTGGAAGCAACATATTCATACTCCGGAACGTTGTGTTCCTCATAATAAAGAAGATGACATCCATTCAAACACCCTCTTCTTCATATTCGTTTCCCTGAATCCTATTTACACACTTCTGCGCCACGTAAGACTCTGTTCGTAATTTTTGTTTGTATGCATGTTAACTAAATCTGGCTATAAAATATGGTACTGACCATAATTAGTTACAGCAATGCAAATCGGTCGGTCAGAAGTGGAAATAGCACACAAAACTGAGACAAGCGAGAGCTGGCGGCTTCATCATCTTGCTTTGTTTTGATTTGTCCACAGGGACTTGTAACGCTAAAAACTGCCATCAAGGGATAAACTGTCACTGCCCCTAGCTCCAGACGTACTGCTTCGTTTATTGTGATCTATGTCTCATTTTGAAGGTAAATCTGTTGGCTTTTAATGCGTGCATAGTTTTACAGGCACATATCCAGTAACCACTGTTGAATTCGTCCTGAAACGATTTTGGTGTGTTGACCTCGTTCCATCCCTTTCCTTTTATATAGTACTAAGATCCCGTTAATGACAGTATATACCTTGATGGCTGTTTTTAGCGTTACAAGCCCCTGTGGATTTGTCGCTACTTCGAACGCACAAAGAACCAGTATTTTAACAGGATTTGACATCCCAGACACGTCGAACCACCTCTGTTGCAGCACGTCTCAGCCTTCGTAATTGCTGCGCTTTTGAAATCGAACGTGCAACAAACTTTGAACAGCATTAATATACCGGAAGTACACTTAGGGCCGTAGTGATTGGCGCCATCTGTTGGCGAAGCGGTATAGAGAGATAACTTAAGAATGTACCCCATTCGCTCTGTCACTCCACTCACCAAAAGTCAATTAAGATGGAGTAAAATCTACCCTTGGACTTTCAGACATAACTCTCAACAGCAGCTTGAAGAGTAAATATTTTATCTGTGGTGGAATATCCTGGCCTAAACCCTGTTTGTGTTTCACTAATTGAAACAGGTAGCGTAATGAGTTATCTCCCTTATGTTACGATGTTAGATTTGTGTTATGATTGCTCCCTTTAGATTGTATACAATGACTTGTCCCGGAATCCCGGCATACCTAGCGTGTACCAATATTGCGACGTATACATTAAAGGTCAATGAAAGCAGACCCGCTCGTTTTTATTGAATGGTTGAATGGCAAAGCCATGTCATCACGAGAACAAAACGAAACAGAAGTGAGTAGGACTGCATTTATGTCGACAATATAAACTATTGAGTTGTCAGTGAGCGTCCTTAGCGTGATAACGATGAATAAAACGGTCAGGTGGTTGAACAAGGCGAAGCACATGGCCATGATGGGGGGCAATGAGCAACCAGAAGTGCCAGTCCAGGGTAATCAGGCTGCTGCGGGAAGACACATAAACGTGCCCTTACCAGCGAAACTCGAGCTGAAAGGTAGTCTGGCTACGAATTGGAGGAAATTCCGTAGGATGTGGAACAATTATGAGATTGTAACACGACTGACTGATGAAAATACGAGGTTCAGAACTGCTACCCTGCTGACGTGTACAGGTGGTGATGCTCTTGACATATATGATGGTCTGCCAATGATGTAGAAATAAATAACATTGATGTAGTGTTACAGAAGTTTGAAGAATTCTGTCTGGAAGAGGTCAATGAGACTTATGAAGTTATGTATTCCATAAGAGACACCAACAGCCAAGTGAAAACATTGACACTTATGTTACACATCTTGGAAAGCTAATCAGATCGTGTAATTATGGAGAGATAGAAGCCAGATTACTGAAAGATCAGATTGTTGCAGGTGTCAAAGATGAAGCACTCACAAGTAAACTACTAGAAGTCAGAAACCTCACTCTAGCAAATTGTATTGATATCTGTAAAGCACATGAAGCAAGTCAATACCAAACCAAAGCTATGGATGCTACATCAAGTCAGGATGAGGTACATGCTGTAGCTAAAAAAGAACAAACCTAAGAGACCTGAAAGAGTGAAAAGAACCAAAGATTTCAAAGAAAGGAAAGAAAACAAGAGTTTGCAAGTATTGTGGAACAGACTGTCCGCCAAAAGATTGCTGCGCTTATGGTAAAACATGTAGCATCTGCAAGAAAAGACATCATTTTACTTCCATGTGTAGATGTAGAAAATCTCAACCAGTTCATTTGGTGGAAAATGAAGATGATAGCTGTGATGAAAATGACAATGACTATGTCCTAGCTATGAACACTGATAAAGATTATGAGAAAACCATATGTGCAAACATGAATGTTGAAGGTCATGTGATGGATTTCCAGTTGGACAGTGGTGCGACAACTAATGTTATGTCCAGTAGAGACTATGTTGCCATTACAAAGGATACAGCACTTAGGAACACAGAAAAGACACAGAAAAGTCTAGTCATGTACAAGACAGAAATGCAGACAATGGGTCAGAAGATTTTCACTGTGACAAACCCAAAGACTAATGAAAGCTACAAAGTGAGATTTGTGATTGTTGACCAGGGCTGTAAGTGTATTCTGGGAGCCGGAGCAGTCCAACACATGCGTCTGATTACAGTGAATAAGGAGAACATTGGATGTGAAGACTGATCCAGGTGAGGAGCTATTGAAGGAGGACGTCTTCAAAGGTGAAGGTCAGCTTGAAGATGAACTGCATTTAGTGACAGATAGCACAGTGACACCCGTCAAGTTTCTCTCTTAATGTTCGTAGTTAACTGTACCTCAAACAAAGGCAAGTCGGGCTGTCAAGGCCAGTCGAGCCCAACGCACAGGCACTAGTAGTATCACTGAATTAGTTATAACGTGATCAGTGTATTATTTCCATCTTTTGGCTATTTATAATATGATGGCATCTTGAAATATGTACCAAAACTCATTACTTCCTCATGAGTGTCGCGTCGATAGGCTTCACCTCTTCAGCTCTGACTTATTTGGAAAATATTGGGAAATATCATCGTCTGACGTTTGCAAACTTTGGCATGAAGAAGCCTCACATGTTGGAGGATCGATCTTTGGGGTTTGATTTTGCAATTTTGATGTGAAAGTGCTACTTTTTAAGCAAAAACTGTCTCTCTTTTGTGAAGTTTCAACAACATTTTCACCATTGCTCTCTGATTGCCCAAGCTGAACCACCAGGCCAATCAAGACATTCTATTGTGTTGTTGTGTTCCATTGTTCAATGAAGGTTGACTGTGCTGGACTTATCCACAAGGCAAGCCGTGTGATCAGTCTGTAACAATGGCGAATATGATGTGCATATTCACATGGATATTTTTCACCATTTTGTTTACATTTTCACCTAGTGAACTCAAATCACTGAAGGAGCAAAAACACCATAAGGTATCGTTGTCTACAATAACAACTCTTAGAGAATTTGGCATGTGTAGTGTGAAAAAAACGCGTCGTGGCAGACGCAGCAAGAAATGTGTGCCTGATTCTTTGCAGAGAAAATCTACATTGTCTGACACTACAAGCACATTTAAAACTGAAAAATTGAAACTTGGCGTTATCAATGCCAGGTCGGCTAAAACATATGATTCCTCTACTGACAAGGCTCAGTCCCTGTGTGATTTGATTGTGGACAATAACCTTGATATTCTAACAGTAACAGAAACATGGTTATATTGCAATAGGAAAACTGACTCCCGCTGGATACAAATTTATTCAGGTGTCAAGGGATACTGGAAAGTGTGGAGGGGTTGCGGTTGTATATAGATCGACTCTACAGTGTTCAAAAGTTAAGGGTTTGAACAAGGAGTCATCATGTGAAGTGCTACCAGTTACACTGTCTACTGGTAGTCAGTCTGTAACACTGATTGTCGTCTACCGTCCACCCGGAAAAGAAACTATACTGAGTCAACAAAGTAACTTCACAAAATGTAATTTGAAAAATAATGAATAATTCTCTTCTGATGAACAAGGCCTGGTGTAAGATTGCCCGGGCCCAGTCAACAAGGCCTGGTGTCAACTGTAAGATTGCCTGGACCGAGAGTCAACAAGGCCTGGTGTAAGATTGCCTGGACCGAGAGTCAACAAGGCCTGGTGTAAGATTGCCTGGA